TCTTCTTCTCAGCGCGGGTCCCCTACCTGGGGACGTCCTTGTCTAGGTCAAGGTACTCCAACCCTCGGTGCCGAGTCCGCTACTCGGGGAGCAAGTGATTTCAGCACTCTATCACAACCCACACTCAAGGGCTATGACGGACAGCTTAGTTGCAGAGCGTATCCCCAACTTGCTGATGAAATGGGGCTTACGGCGTCCTAAGCTCTACAACTGGTCCACGAGTTCAGCCAGTCGATCACAAGCAGGGTCTGAGCCTAAAAGGAAGCTTGAAAATGCAAGCACAATGTGCTATGGAGCCGCGCTAACGGTGTGTCGCGAGAAGCGCGCAGATCAAAGAGAAGAGCAAGAGACGTGTTGAACGAGCGGTCGAGTGAAAAAAAAACTATCGAGAAGAGGAGGTTAAGCGGCGGCAGGCTGGCAGGTAGCAACAGCTTCGGAGAGAATCCAATACCCTAGTGTTACCCAGGATCAGATAACTGTGACGTAGTCCACGATGATTGGAGGCGCGGTAAAAAACGGATGCTGAGTGGTCCTGCAGAGGTATATCGTTTGATTTCCAGAATTCTTGATTCATGAATGTAGAATTACTTAGGATAGAAAATTAAAGGAAAAATTAACACCGACAAACGGTGCTTTAATTTCACAAAGTCTTTCCGACGAACGGAATCTCGACCTTGACGAAACTGTGCTGCTGGTTTTCCTTCTTGGTGCACCCTTCTTCTCCCTAATGGAGGCAGAGGGACCCGCCTTATATACTAACCCCAGGTCAGTTCGCTCACGAAAAACAGCTCGCAAGGAACGACAGCATGACCGCTAATCGGTCGATGAACTGTCTTAAAATCTAAAACAACCGATGACAACAATGAATAGGTAAGAAAGGGGAATTACTGCCTTCTTCCCAATAGGTCTGCGAGTCAGATGTTCAGCTCGTCATCGTAGGCCTCTCATATGCGAAAATCGTTGATCTTTTCGGAAAGCATGTGATCTTCGCATACTGCGGTAAATTAAATCGAGATGTAACGCAACGCATGCAGGAAAACGGTCTTTTTACTCAAATGTCGTTCATCACTCCAGGTACAGACTATCAACGTAATGGCTCAGAAAAGTTTCAATCGCTGACCTCCTCCTCCTCGTCATCAAACAGAGCACTCACCCCCTCCTGTTCTTCCCTCGTGCGCAACGTGAGTTCCATTGCGCGCTTCCTACGTTCTCGATACGAGGCCCGAGCACGTTTGCGCGTATTCACGTCCGTTTGTGCTATATCGTGCAAACGTTTCAAATGACGTTCATACGTTATACCATCACTGTCTCGCAACGGATGCCATCTGATATGTACATTAGTCAATGCCATCGTCAAACGAAATATGTCGTCGAACCAATCCTCAGCCCAGCGATATTTGTTAGCCACTACTGCCCACAGCGTGCTCTGTCTTCCAAAGTAGTTCTCAACTATAATTCGATCAGCCGACTTAGCCTCGTTCTCTCTCTTGTCCGAAATGCTCAACATGCCTCCCTGGGGTTTCATCTTGGGAATAATGCTTCTTATTTCACCTTCGATTCCCACGTAGCCTTTGTCCAGTAGCACGCCCCAGCTTTCTGCATGCAAGTCAGCCCCGTTTCCGATGTCGATGATTGTCTTCTCTTCCTCCGATTTTCCAGTCAATCAGCATGAAAGCCGATCATATCTCTCATTATCTCAATGTCACTAACAGATCCTGGAAGATGCCGACTTGATCCAATCGCTAAACCATTAGGAAGAACCGATACTTCAACCTTGTATCCGTACAATTTATGCTTGCCGGAAAAATACTTTTTCGATTCCTCAAGCGAGCCACCGGGACGAAAACTCTGGATAAACGTCACGTCATTTGCGTAGCGACATATCTTGTAATTTTTGAAAGTTTTCTTCTCTGATATGAGCCTGGTCATCGAGTACCGGCGCTCGTAGAATGTGACAAACTTGGAGTAAGCACGTTTTGAAAACATTTTGATCATCTTGATCACTCTTTTTTCGAACGTCGGTGCCTTCATTCCGAAAAGCTATGCCATCATGTCCCATTTGCTTCCATGTTTCAGTACGGTAACCGTCATAAAAAGCAAATCCTTGGCATGAATGGGCGATTTGCTTCCTCGTCCAGTGCTATAGTTTTGGCGTACGTGTTCGGCCACATTGTTCCAAATGGACATGAACTCATTCAGAGTAAAATTTGTCATGTCCATGATGGCTTGATTGCCGTTCTCTACAAAAAATTTGTCAATGATGGGAGAGTCACTTTCATGCCCGTCCTCACTCTCTGAAAGGCTACCGAGCTCGTCAAATTTTTCGAGTTCCTCTTGCCGTAGTGCGGCCTGTTCTCCAAGTATCTGGAGTGCGGCAGCGGGATCGGCGCTCTTGAGTGAGCGTGTCATGACAGCCGATCGCGATGGATAAGCAGAGCGGAGGGTTGGATGGGATTCTGTGTGAAGAAGCGTTCAGAAGTCTCAAGTGCGGAAGAGCAGACAGTGCATGAACTTTCGTGTGATCCGTAGATGGGCGCCAATTGTTCCATGGTAAGATAGAATTGTGTGCGCACACCATCGCAGAGTAGCGTTTGCTCTGTTTCGCGCGAAAATGCAGAGAATTCCGATGAGATTGCGTCTTTTCGTTCAATAGACCTTTATCACAGTTAGAAGGGTACTGCTGAGGGAGCCAATACATTGCCAGAACACAGCGCAGATTCTGTAAACAACAAATTCATTGCAGATTACAGCAGTAAAAGTCAAGAATGCCAACAATTTGTCACAATATTCTACCATGACCACATACGTGGCTGTATAGTGCTGATCACGTCAGAAACGAGGCGGGTAAACTATTAAAAAAAAGCCCGCCTTATTTCCAAACCACTCAAGGATTGCGCATAAGACTGAAATCGGGACTGCGGCCAGGTCCTCAGACAGTCCTTCCCCTCAAATCCTCCATTCCAACTTCCTCTTATCTCACAATAACTTCGACCCTCCAATTGATCCGAACTCTCGCTCCTTCCCTCAACCCCCCACACCCTTCGTTCCATCACCCCCTGACACACCTCTCGTTCCAACCATGACAAATGTCAGCCAAGCTCAAGCTGCCACAGCACTGCAATTGCTCGCAGATGCGGCCGTGGACCGCCGCAACGAGCTTTGACAGTACGATGATGACAGCGATCCATTCGACTCCGATGAAAACGATGACTCGGATGCGCCCATTTTCGATAGTTTTTACGAGCAGGGAGGTTCTGCCGCTATACTCGAGATGACGAACTTCGACCCTACACAGTTTTTGGGAATATGGTCTGGATTTCAGGGTGTCATATCTCAGGGCTATAACGCGGGACGGGGTAGGAAGTCAATCCATAGCGGCAAGGACGTACTTTTTATGACATTGTGTGTCGTAAAACACGGAGGACAGTGGGATTTTCTTGCGAAAATGTTCGGATTGAAGGGTCCGTCTTTTGAAAAACTGATTATGAAATTTGTAGACCTGCTGTGGCTACCTGTTTACGAGCAATATGTTGAGCATCACGCGACCAAGTGGACAATGACGGCTGTGTCGGATGTTGGGCGTTTGTTTAGGCATTTCCCTGTGGCTCGGTATGCTACCGATGTGACTTTCCAGCCAAGCTACCGTCTAAGTGGTAGCATGCAAGAGTGCAAAAAGTACTATAGTGGAAAGCATAAACAATGTGGCTATAAAATAGAAGTCTCCGTGCTTCCGAATGGAATGGCCATTGGATGTAGCGAGCATGAGCCCGGGTCAGTCTCCGATCTGACTCTTTTTCAGAGGATGCAGTATTTTCACGACAAGCAGCTGCAGAAGAAAGGGGAGGAGAAGGAGTGGGATGACGATGGGCCGTATGTGGGCAAATATCCGGAAAGCTGGGCTGTCTTATGTGACAAGGGATACCAAGGAGCTTTAGAATTCTGCCGTGTAATTCATCCAACTAAAAAGCCGCCGCATGCTGTAATGCCTCCTACGGATGTCAAGCGAAATCGTCTTATTTCAAGTGACAGAATTATTGTCGAAATTTTTTTTGGCAGGCTGTGTGGAATTTGGAACGTGATGGGGTCTAAGTGGAAGCGGAACGAAAAATCGTATGATCCAATTTTCAAATTGTGCTTGGGACTTACCAATTTCCATATTAGGTGGAATCCGTTACGGCAAGAGGATGGGCAGGTTTATGGGCAAATAAGGACGCGGTGGTTTAGGCTAGCTGAGAACCAGGCAAGGAGGAGGAAACTCGTACAAGAAAAATATCGCGAGAAGCGAAGAAGGCGCATGAACATTCAGTTCAGGGCGTGTGGCGTTCCTGATCGCGACCCTGATGGTATATGACGTAGTGGTTAGGTGAATTCGTAAATATTTGTCAGTTGTGTGGTTGACTACAGTGCACAACCAAGTTTACAAAGTCTATCGATGCGCACTGAATGACTTGGTGGCGATGTTTTTGCCAAGTGATTTACGGAGAATATCGATCTTTTGGGCGGTGCTCTGTCTTTGGGGAGAAAAGCGGTCTTTGGTTAGGAGACCTAATGGGGACCAACGCGGAGGATGAACACTCTGATGTAGAGGGACAGTTCTGCTGTCAGCTTTGTTGTGTCCTAATTAAAGATTATTGAATTATGATATTCCCCTGCAACTCTGTAATTTCGATGTCAATCTGTAACAAACCGCTTTGATTTCGAAAACAGCTGCTTATGTGAAAGGATTCACCATAACTGATCCCCACGCCTAATAATTCCCCGTGACCCCTTACTCTATGACAAACACCTCTTTCCACAATGGCCTTTACTTCCATCCTGCTCCTCGCTTTCACCACAAAACCATTTGAGACCACTGTTGCCCCATACCGCCTCCTTATTGTAAGCCGTGGGACTTGCACTGCCCCAAATTCTTGTATTGATACAAAGTATATCTCTCTCCAACTTACCTACCCAGCCTGCCTTCATTCCAGTCATAGGACCCCTTTTTCTATTTCCCGGCTTCACCTGCCACTTTTCACTCGATCCGCGCACCCAAACACCTGCACATGCTTTCTGAACAACCTCGACCCCTCTCTATAAATTGCCAAATCCACCTTTTCCTTCATATCAAACACAATCCGGTCTTCCATTGAAAACCTGCCCCAAATTGCTTGTGCAGACATCGAGTAACTCCCCGAATTCAACCTCCCATTCCGCCCATCAATCGCCTCGAGTCCTACATTGCTTACCCCGTTCACTTTGTTGTACACCTCCATCGTCTTGCGTAGCATGCACCGCGACGCCGCAGATTCCTCCTGCAACCCCACAAACACATACTTCCCAATAATCTTCACCGCCTTCTCCACAACCCCCTCAACCTGCCTACCTTCCACCCCATAGTAACTATGGTAGCTGTTCCCGGTAAACCCTTCCTTGCCATCCGAAAGTAGCCTCCCTGCCATGTAATTCGGGCCCAAGTCCCTCCCCAACTCTGCATCTATCCTCAGTTTATCAAACAACAAAAACTCCCGCACCTCCTCGAACGACACCTCCGACTCCTTCCTTCCCACTTCCCTCACGAAAAAGTGGTAGTAAAACGATACCTTTCGATCAAACGGATGTCGCATCACAGTAAACGTTCTCAAATCCCTCAAATTCAGCAGCTCGTCCACCCCATGCAGCCCAAATTGATGCCCAAACACAAAATCATGCCTGTTTCTCTCCTGGTTGTTCAGCTGCAGGATCGGATCCCAGTCGCAACGCCAAACCGCGAACGACTGCTCGCCCCCCCCGAGGGTGCTTTCTCGCTTATAGCACGAGTCCCGTGCCACGACTTGAGAGCCGTCAGATTTGAACTTTCTGTTGTAGAATACATGCAGAGACGTCTTGAAGGATACACCCCCGGTTTTGTGGAAGTGCATAAAATTGATTGCGGTCTTGGGGGTGAAGTGCAATACCTCTTCCAACGACTTTGTCTGTTCGGATTCTTGAGATGTAGTTTTTGCGTTCGTTGCTTCCAGTGCCTTCGCAGGACTTTCTTGCCTGTCCGAATTTGGCATGCCGTTGTTCTCTTCATACACGGAAGATGATCTGAGGGAGCTTTGCTTAACATGGTCCTTTCTTGTATGTTGGTTTTCGTCTGGTGACTGCCACCCTTCCTCGCTGTTTTCATTGTCGCCCATGACTTCCGTTAGGTTACCATCCATTGACGTCGAACTGCTCTTGCTAGGACTCTCTATGCTTGTTTTTGGGGTTGCTTCATTTTGATGGGCATTGTTTCTGTCATCGCGAAGACTGTACAGGGACGAGAACTCATTATCTGGATGAGAGGCTTCCGAGCCAAGCTTCGGGGCATCCCTATTTACATCTAGCCAACCCCTTCGCTTCTTGTCATCATCCAACCCCTTATTGTTCTCACGTTTCTCTTCCTCCGCTCTGCCGCCTGCATAGCTATCAGTTCTCGTCAGCGCCGCCGGGCCGTGTGTAAAAAGTAAAGACTTCGACGTTGAGAGAATATCGTCTGCTTGGACAATGTCCCAACCAGATAGTTCAACTGTCGAAAAAAATCCTAGGTATTGTGACGAAGCCAATGCAGCGAGTATCAAGAACATAACCAGCACGGGTCTTCTTCTCAGACGGGCGGAAAATGATAAATATCCGAACTTTGAAGAACGAAAGCGCAGGTCCCGATGTTGCAGTCGCGGACGAGCAACGACATACCAAGTGGCTGTCATTAGGAAAGAAAAGGGAACGTAGGGATGAATGGAAGAAGGGAATATTGAAAGAGCAGGCACTAAAAAAGCATGTTTACTTGCAACGGTTCATCTGTCGAAAAGGGAGGGCATGCAAAGAAGATATAAAACTCTTGCGACTGTGTAAATCGTGAGGCCAAAGACTTTTAGCATAAGAAAATGACACTGCTCCGGAAGGGCCATGGATGCGGCCTGGCGAGGTGGAGCAAACGTCGAAAGCGTATCTGAGATGAAAGGCTGGGCCCGATGTGACAAGCCATGTCTGCAAAATTTTTGCGTATTGGGACGGAGCAACTGGTAGCAGACGGTTGCATGAGTGGGCGACGGAGAGAGACGTCAGGAAGTGGACGGCGGAGGATAGAGAGGCTTGTCCGTGCATTGACTTTGGGATGTTGAATTTGGGATATTGATACTCTCAATTTGAGAGGGTGGGCGCAGGTCGGATTTTGGGGCAGATTGGTGTTTCTGGGGGCTGTATATGGCGCAGATTATATGTAGAGAAGAACCTGTGAAGCTCTGTTCTGGTTGGAACAAATTGTGAAGGTATTTGTACCCTTAAGGGTAGTACAGTAGTTGGATGACCACAGTATCGGTAACAATCCTTTTACTGCTCTGCTCTGCAATCGTCGTCGAGTGTACTGTCAGCATTAAACGATTAAACTAAACGTTTGGGAAGCTGTTTGTACATGTGGAATGACTCGCAAGGATATATGCTATAACAAGCCTGGGTAGTGCCTGCCTTCGCTGGCCATACCAATAATTGCGTTTGTGGGGCCGATTTCAAGAAAGCACCCGCTTGCTGCCGTTTGCATCTCTTCGCGACAGACAGAGTCTTACGCAAGAAGCCAAATCGGAAATACGGCCAGTGCATTCATGAGGCGGTGTGTGCCGTATGAATTACAAATAATTATCGGGCCAGGCACCATGCACTGGCTGAAATGCCTCCGCTGGCGCACACATGGCTTGAGCCAACCTTGTCCCACGGAGCTGACTTATTTACATGAAGGAAACCTTCCCTCGAGCTTGCTGTCCCCCTCTGTAGCATATCGCGTATGATAAAAAAACTTTATTTACAACCAGGGAGAACCCGCTGCAGCTTTGTGTGCCCGTATTGGCCCGTATTGCCCCTCCGCTCTAGCACTGTACCGATGCCTCTTCTGCCCCCCACTGTAATTCAATTTATTGAGAATTGTATTTAAATCACGGTGCATATCGCGTATGATAAAAATTATTGACGACCAGGGAGAACGCTCTACTTGTACAGCAATTCTGCGACTTGGAATCTGGGACAAACATTTCCCAACAGCTTATGTACCAACAGTTTATGTAAACGTCCACTACGATCATCACGTCCATACCTACACGACCAATTTAACCATATGTATATCCATGCGCTGTGAAGGCGCAGATGCAGGAGGTGACCAGCACATCCATACTGTCATCTATCAAAGGTCCCTTTTGAACCAATTGTCAATATCTGACAGTCACTAATGTGAACTCTAGCTCGAAAGACACAGTGCACATCCGCATACATCTTGTCTGGATATACCCGCAAATATTGTACCACATTGCGTGCATGCGCATGTCCTGCACCTATTTCCCGAACATGACGCAGTTGCTCTTTCTACGGATTCGGCAACCCACCACTCTCGCAGTCTTCGGTTTTTTTTTTTTTTTTTTGCGACAGGCACGCGTTTCGTTTTTTTACGCAGTTCAGCCGCTCCGTTTGCCTGGGTTGGCGGTGTGTGCGTATTACATTTAACCTTGTGACCTAAGCGCATGCTTCCAGTGAAAAGCCGCTGAATCCATAGATTCAATAGTATATATTATTCTCTCACAACTCATGGATATTACCTGATACTGCTCCCACAAAAACGTTATCCCTTGCAATCCGCGTCTATTTATTCAGTGCAAACCGCCAACACACGAAAAAATTCCTGCGATTCTCCTTGCGGGATCCAGAATTCACTTTCTTCATCGACATGCATCCCGGCATCAATCAAGTATGACGTAGCATCCCTTAACGCGCCCTCAGAGCGAGTGCGGCACATTGCGCTCGGCGTCCCCGATGCTGTTGCCTCTGTCGAACTTCGGTCTGTATTTTGGCTCTCTTGCGATGCTGGGTTGAAACTGCTGCTTTCAGGTACATGCTCGGGGCAGAATTCCTCCAAGACCAGTAGATTGCTATCTGATGGGTAAATCTATCCGAGGGATGCCCTCAATCGCACGGAGAGCAAAACTCAATTTTGGCAGTCAATTTTGGTAGATGACGTTTGTCCCCTCACACCAAATCGTTTCTTTCGGTCGATGCATGTGTGCATTCGAGAAGGACAAAAACTTTCGTCTCGGTGGGGCATGTGCATGTGAAGAGCACACCAATAGTTTCAAGTTGTCGATACTGATAACGTGCGTCCCGCGGCATGGGACTATTGAAGAAACCTCAAAACACAACCAGTCAGATCGGTTCAAACCCGCTCGAAATGGTAATGGTCTCGAAACAATGGCACCTTGGTGAGAAAGCCAAGTTCCGCACGTGACTATTGCCTACGCCTTTGAAGACTCAGATGATTGACCAGACGCGGATTATAGAGTTCTCTGAAAACATGGTAGAGTAGGACGCTTTCGCGCCACCTGCCTCACAGAATGCCTGTACAACAAAACAATCATAATCGTTGGGGATACTCTTCCTTCTCTTCAATGCCTGAGATCCCCACAGAATGCACGGCGCGATTATTTCAACTCTTACCGTATCTATGCTGGATCCTTCTTGCGAAATCTTGAATTGGAGACAAAATCCTGCAGTTCGTAAGGAGCTGTAAATATCAGAAATACCGCGAGTCAATGCCTCGGCGTCGGCCGACTCTATCGGCTGAGGACAACGGGCCGTATTTAACATCTTCTGATAGATCCTGTCCCCAACACCCCTCCTCCAAGCGTAGAGGATATCCTGCGGTGTCTGTAATAGATCCAAGTCTCGTCTCACAACTCTCTTCCCCCAGTTGCCGTCCTCATCGCCAAACTTCTCCTCAAACATTGTTCGAGGTTCCCTTATAAATGACTGTATAGTGAGCATCTGGGCGTAGCTAATAAAGTCAAAGTAGCGGGGGTCGGTGATAATCCCCTGCCGCATGCCCATATTGTTCTGTATGAACTTCTCCCACTCCCTTGAACGTATATCAAAAAAACGGGCCTGAAACTCGTCCATCGCGACGAAATTCAGGTCATCGACAACATTGTAGCCTGCACGCATGAGCAGCACGGCAAACTCCTGGTCGAGTGTGGGGCGAGCGAGGACGACAGGCGCGGGGGGTGGGTTGAAGACTTGAACCAAAGTGGAGCGGAGGGCGCTGAAGAGGATTGGCTGGTTGGGGCGATTTGGGGGGGAAATGTCCACGTCGTCCATTGAAGCTCGCGGCCGAAAGCGACGGCGTTTTTTGGAGCTGTGGGAGCCGCCTCTCAGCAGCCTGTTGGGGTGCGAGAGTAGGAGGGGAGAGACGAAGGCGCCCATTTTGTTTTTGAAGCAATGTGCAAGGGGAGGTCTGGACGCTGAGCTAACGGATATGAGGCAGCATTTTTCTGTACTTGTGGAGAGTGGGTGGTTTGGGGAGGCGTGGCTAGATCAGTTTGGGCAATGACCTCGGGTTGGAAACGAAGGTCTTTGCGTCGACGGGAAGGACCAGTACCGCCGGTGATGTCGAGCTTTGGTGTGAGCTCTTGGAGCACACATTTGGGGGGCAATTGGTTTTGCGAGAACGAGTCCTCCCTGGTTGCAAATAACTTATTTTTACAGAAGCGCTGAGACCCTGCGAGAAAGCGGCAGTTTGGAGATCAAAAGGCTTTTCTGTGATTGCTGTGATCCGCCTCTGACCAATGCTTGATGTCGCGGGATTCTGGGACTGCTCATTTCGGGCCTCTGTGGGAGGGTGAGACACCAAGCGACTCGTGATTCGCTGTTCCGAAAAGAAACACCCTCATACTCCCCGATTCTGTCTTTGAGCGTTCGGTGCATGCAGGGTCTATGACCCCGGTCTACGGTCTACTCTGTATGACCTTTGCTCGCCCATATCCCGCTCTTTTGCCCACCTGCCCTACTCCCCTTCATTCATCCCCGGTCCGAGCGAAGCCGTGATCAGCTAAGAAGGGCTGGCCACGTCTGCTACGCCCTCTGACAACCGTCGCCACCCTCTCGAGCTTCACGCCTCTCGAAACCCTCTGTCCCATTGTTCACCCTACCCTCCCGGCGCCGAACACGCCCACTCAATCATGCGCCATGCAAGAAGAAGACACCAAGGCCGTCGCCGACCCCCCCAAGCCCGACTTCTGGCGGGACCCGCGCCCAACGAATGAGAACCCCAACTTCGTGCGCGACTACTTCGCCTCCTCGCGCCTGCACTTCATCGGCTCCTTCCGCGCCCGCTACGAATCCATGATGGTCGCCGTCGCCGCCAACCTCGCCGTCAACCCGCGCCTGCTGCTCCAGTCCTCCGCCGAAAAGGGCCTCCTCTCCGCGAAAACTACCCGCGCTGAGCGGGTCATCGTCCACATCGACATGGACTGCTTCTTCGCCAGCATCGCCGTCAAGAAGAACCCGGCCCTCGCGGGCAAGCCCATCGCTGTGTGCCACGGCGGTGGCGAGATCTCCAGTTGTAGTTACGAGGCGCGGAAGTTCGGCGTCCGCGCAGGCACGTTTTTTCGCGACGGCCGTAAGCTATGCCCGGACCTGCTCAGTGTGCCGTACGAGTTTCCCATGTATGAGGAGGCCTCCCTTCTCATCTACGCCATCTTCTACAGTTCACCCACCGTAAGCGTCGAGGCCGTCAGCGTCGATGAGGCTTACCTCGACATCACATTGGCTATCGGCGATGATAGGCACGCCAGTCAATCAGGGGCCGATGCCCTAGTGCGAAGTTTGCGAGACAAGATATTCGCGAGCACCGGGTGCACGGCCAGCGCGGGGATAGGACCTTCAAAGCTTGTGGCGCGCCTGGCGACGAAGGCAGCCAAGCCGAACGGCCAGATGCGCGTCCGCCAGGAGAATGTCATCGCATATCTCGATACGCTACAAGTCAAAGACCTGCCTGGCATCGGGTGGCGAACAGGGCGACGACTTCGCGAAAAAAGCATCACCACCGTACCACAGTTGAGGGCTCTCTCGCTGGCGGAGCTACAGTCCGAGTTTGGCGGGCGCCAGGGCCAGGTCTTCTACAACCTGGCCCGTGCACTTGACGCCCGCCCAGTCGAGCCGTTGAAGCCCAGAAAATCGATCGGCGCGGAAGCTTCGTGGGGCGTGCGCTTCACGAAGGAGGAAGAGGATAAGGCTCGCAAGTTTATCATGGACATGGCAGATGAGGTGGCTGCGCGAGTGGAAGCAGCCGGTGCGTATGGGACTAAAGTCGTCTTCAAGGAGTATAAACGCAAGAAAAATGCCAGCATGGTCGGGTACAAGCATCTCGGTCATGGTCCTTGCGTTGTGTTCACTAGGAGCGCCAGGATTCAAACGCGGAGCGCGGGACGGCCCTTGAAAGAGCTTTTGAGACAGGCGTGCATTCGCCTGCATAATGACCTGGGCTTGCACAGTGACGAACTTCGAGGAGTAGGGGTCCAAATGACAGATCTCTCGTTTGCGGACTTGAACTTTGATCATGCGGAGGCGACGACGGCGGGGTCCACGAGGCGCATCGACTCCTTCTTTGAAACTGCAGTACCGTCATCGATTGGAAACGGTTTGTCGATATCGCAGCGGAGAAAGGCGGCAAATGAGGCAATCAAAGATTTACCTTCTTCGCGGAACGGGTTGGGACAAGTGAGCAATCAATCAAAGGGTGGAGCTTTCGACAAAGAAGAACCATTTGAAGTGGAATTCGTCAAGAAGCATTCAGAAAGGATAGAGGCGAGTAAGGAAAGAATGGCTTCACCAATTGATGAGCAAACTGAGACTCACCTTGCTGATATCGAAGATGAGGATAGAATCGAACCTGCCCCAGCACAAGTTGAGTTTCAACGCGCTCCCCAGGTCAAAGATGCGGTGGGAAAAGCCCACGAGAGCAGAGAATTGGACATTCCGAAGGGTTGGGACCGTGAGGTATTCCATAATTTACCCAAAGACCTACAAGACGAGCTTTTGAAAAGCAGCAGCCACGCCATTGCAGCAGGTCATCCTCCACCAAGGGAAGCTGAGGCTGTCACAGACGACACCAGCGCGCACCGCATAGCGCCGCCCAAACGGCGGCGCAACCCAAAGCCAAAGCCCGCCGCGGCTCAAGCGGAGCGGGCGAAACGGCGAAAGGCGGGTCAAGTGACGATGACGCAATTCGCCGACATATCCAATCTCAAAAAAAGGGGTCACAACGTGCTAGATGCGGAAGAGTTTCGGGAAATGCCGCTGCGGGATTGCGTAGAACTGCTTGGGGACTTGCGCGGTAAACCTTTAAACGTGCGGACGCTGCAGACCGACAGGCGAAATGTGGAGACGGAGAGGACAGGAAGGAGAGAGGGAGAGGAGGATGAATTGGAGGACCTTGAGATCCCGTCGCCGCCCAGCTTGAGCAGCGACTCGGACGGTAGCTGTAGCATGACGGAGATGGTGTTGAGGCAGGGGTTTGAGGAGGGACCTGTTTACGCGGAAGAGGAGCTGAGCACTTATGCTGAGGTGTTGCGTGTGTGGATGAGGACGGTGGCCGGGGATGTGAAGAGCGGGCATGTAGAGTTGATAAGAGGGAGAGTGCTGGAGTTGTTGAGGAGGAAAAAGCTGGAGAGGGTGTGCTCCGAGATGCGATTGGTGAGGCTGTTTGTGGGCGAGGAGGGTATGGGGGCGTGGGTGGGGCATTACAACAGGATTTTAGACGACGTGCAGGAAGAGTGCCGGGTGCTGTACAAGTTTCGGCTTGCATTGCGGAAGGCATGAGCGGGTGAAGGGGGGCCGCAAGTCGATGGGATGGGGCGGGTTGCGCAACGTGGTTGTGGGGTGGGTTAGATACGAGGTGTTAATGTTTTATATAATAAAAGGTTCAGCTGGTTCCGAGCATGCCGCGGACGCGTTGCAGAATTGAGTCCTTCGAGGGGTCGTAAGGATGCTCCTTGGAGGGGATCTCGAGGATGGCGGGGACTGCGGCGTTAAACTTGCTGACAACCGGGCGGATGCGGTCGGCAACCTGCGATGGGATTGAACAGGAGGGAGTGGGCGAACGAGGGAAGGTTAGCGAGGGCGGTGACCGGAAGAGCGTGCATTTCGGAGAACGCAGCGCGGGCAGGTTGCGTACGTATTGGTTGATGAGGACGATGGCAATGTCGTCGCGCTCGGTGAGGCGCTTAAATTCGTCCTCGATTGCTTGCGTGGGTGTATCCTCTGTGGGGGATTGCGGGAAGAAGGGAGGGGGGGAGAGGGGTACGCTGTTAGCAAGAAGGCAGGGAGTGGGGTGATAGCGGGGCAAGGTGAGTCCAGTGATGAGATGTGAGGGTAACGGATGACGTACTGGGGTCGACGACAAAGTAATTGGCGCCGTTCGTGACGTGGTTCTCACCCACGCCGGCGAGGAGGAAGCCCGTGGCGGTATCCTCGTCGCCGATGACGGCGATGAGGTAGCCGCCTTCGCGCGCCTTGAGGGCTTTTCTGACCATAGTTTTGAGTTGTTGGGTGAAGGGGTGGGATGAGAGAAGGATGCCGCAGGAGGGGAAGGGACGTTAAATTGCGGAAGCGGAAGCGGAAGGGGGAGGAGGGGTGATGCAAGAGTGTAAGTGGTGTAAGGAAACACGTGCAGGTTTTTTTCCGTTACTTTCCGGAGGGACGGGAGCGGGCGGAGATGGGGGGCTTACAGAAAAGCTGGAGGGCAAGACACCTGTCGAGTTCTGTGTGGGGGGTTCGCATCCCGCCAAAAGGAAAGGGGTTCAATTTTTGGCGCTGTGGCGTTGTTTTCAAAGCGCCAACTCCCGGGCCTCCGGCAGCGCCCGCCGAAGCGCTCATATCCCCCACCCACCTGCCCAAAATATTTCAAATTTCAAACGCA